GAGAATCTGCTAGGAATGATATGTCGAACTAGCGAACATCGACCCTAGACGGGTTCCATCCTGGTTTCCTACGCGGGATGCTACGTGTTTGCCCTCGCGTTGTGTCAGTGACTTGGAAGGTGATGTAGTTGTGGTCGCTACCACTCAGGTCTTCCATCACTCAGCCCTTCGAAGAAGGCTTTCTGAGACCAGGGTTATGTCAGGGATAGAGTATCCTAAACCCGGCCTTCGATATGTAGGGGTCGTTCCGGTGTTGAGGATGGTTAGGCCAATGCGGGCTGCCATTTCAAGGACCAGTCTTCCCCTGCTGTTTGTTTGGGGCACACCCCATTCCACGCCTCTTGCGTTGAAATCTCCAGCAACAATTATGTGGCCAGTTATATCGCGTGATTTGTCTTCAAGGTCTTCGAGCTTTTCCCTGAAGACAAGGACTGTGTCGCTTGCAGACAGGTAGCAGCTCACCAGAGTGATTTGCGCAATTTTCACCCAGACGTAGCAGCGTCCGCCTCCGCTGCTCTCTGCGCGATGGTTGGGGTTAGCAATCCATATCGCGGCCGAGCCTGATTGGTCAACATGCCAGGTGTTCTTTGTTCTATAGGGTTCACTAATGATCTGCTCTTTGTTCAAGAACCAATTGGTCCAGAAGGTCATCAGCTACCCTACTCCAGTTCATATTGCTTTGTATATAATTAATCATATTCTCCCAAGCTTTGTCTTAGCCTCAGCAAGGGCATCGCTGAAGCGTTATCCACTTCTGGGGCCGTGGTTAGGCAGTCCATGCCCAGAAATTCTAGACGTAAACGTCTGGTGAGAATACGGGCGTCTCCGAACAGATCGAATTACGGTCTCCGTCTTCTCAGGTTGGAGCTTACCACGTATCGTGCCCAGCACCTCTGCATAGGTTTTGCCTTCAGCTGGCTTAATGATTAGTTTTGCGAGACTCTTCTTTTTTCTCACCCTCTTCTTTTTTTTTGCGGCTGGTTGCCTCGCCCTTATTGACGAAAGACTCACCTGGCGCTGGCCCTGGCTTGGGCTTTCTACGTTTTCCAACCGTTTTCCATTGGTTATCTGGTACGTTTCTCTGCACATTATTGCTATTATTATTATTAGCATTATTATTATAATTACCATTACTAATATTAATATTATTACTACGATTATTATTATTATTAGTAGGTAATTGTAGGAACTATTAGTTGAATTGCTAACTGTCGTCTTATGCCTACTGGAGTAAATTCCGCAGTTTGACGTAAGTTTAGCACACCATAAGTCTTGGAAACAACAGAATTTATATGATCCTTGCAACTTAAGTTCGAATTAATGACAAATCCCAGATTTCTTATTTTATTCTACATATTCTAAAGGTTTATTTCCAAGAACTATCTGAGGTATTGTTGTTATGTCAAGCTTCTTCTTGGCGATTGGTAAAACAAACGACATTCCAGAGTTAAGGCAAAGACCATTATTCTTTGACCACTGCTCAATAGCAGATAGGTCATGGTTAAGTTGGCGAATTAATAAGTCTTGATTTTGAAAATTATTTGACAGATATATTTAGCTGGATGTCATCCGCATAAGCATGCATTCTTGAAAACTGGCAAACACGAAAAAATGTCATTGATAAATAAGCTAAATAAAAGAGGCCCTAAAATTGACTCCTGATGTAAGCTTGATGTCTGCCCGCAAGATAGCTCTCCAAAAGCTTTAATAAGTTTTCATCAAACCCAAGATAACATTTAAGCTTATTACATAATATTGTATAGTTTACCGAGTCAAACGCATTTGAAAAATCGAGTAGACAAGGCAAAGTTAGCTGGTTTTTGTCAAACGGCAACTTTGAGCATGGCCGTTGAGCAACTATGTTTTGCCCTAAACCGCGATTGAAAAGGAGAAATAATGGCCCTCATGCATAAAAAGTGAGCTTAAGCTCCGACTCGATTTTCAGTACAAATTCTTGAGCTTGAGCTCACCCCTTCAGTGCAAAAATTGAGTCTGAGCTTAAGCTCACTTTTTATGCATAAGGCCCAATATTGTGTTTATGAACATGTACGCTAATTTGCTCAGCTAGTAATGACTCAAAAACCTTAGAAGTTGCTGGCCGAAAATCACTAGGATCACTAGCTGATGATTTCTTTGCGACCGGTCGCACACACGCAATTTTCCACACATCAGGGAAACAAGAAGTTGTAATGCTATGGTTAATAGCATGCGTAAGAGTACTGATGATATAGGACAAGCCAACCTTAATAAATTTTAGCTCTGATCCAATACTTTTCGTGAAAAATCCTGTAAAACTGTCAACAGCAAAATTACTCTCTGAAGTGAGAGTAAAAAGTGAGTAACAACAAAAAGTACGGGAACAAAAAAACCATTTTTCATGTAAAAACGTCAACCAGTGATTGCTTGACACTTTTCATGATTTTACCAGAAGAAAAAGTTCGGGTAAAATCTTGCAACTTCATTCTCTACACAACACTTCAAAAGACGCTCTCCTTTACAGGATTTTGGAGGATTTTGGAGTACGGGAACATTTTTCCTGCAACTTCCTGCAATTTCGTGTAAAATCCTGTAAGTTCATGGAGTACTGGATCAGAGCTTTTATAGGCAGGCAGTCCTCTCCAATTTCATTTGACTTAATATTCAGAACACATTTAAATAATATCACATTCAGAGACTGGGACAAATTTAAACTGCGAATTTAGCAGCTGTTAGAGGCATTTGGCATTTGTCTTTGGTTTATTTAATGTTTATTTTTTTTTTTTTAAGTCTACCAGAATAAACACCATATAAATTCAGATTTCAAACTTTTCAATCAGAATTTTGTATGCAGTTTTGTAGACCATTTAATTCTAGTATAATGAAGCGCAAGTTTCAAGCTGCTAATACATCCCGTTAATTTTTGTATATAAAAGAAAATTGTCGAACATACTTATGTATGGAAAAACACCTTCAACCAAAAAAAAAGAATAATTTTTATGAGCTGTCTGCAAACGTTTTTTGATATTGGCTGTTGTCTGTCGCTTCACCTGAAGATATGACAAGAAATTACAAAGAATCGGCGAAAAAAGGCGGATGCCGATGCCAATGCCGATGCTCAATTTTGTGCCGATACTAGCCGATGCCGATGCCGGTGCCGATTAATCGGTCGGACTCTATCGATATTTCTTGAGATCTTGGGCTTCGAAGTTTACGTAATGTGGACTTTTCGTGGATTATTGAGCTAAATTGTAGAAATTGTTGTTCAACTTCAAGGCCCAACATCTAAAAAAATATCGATGATAGCGATTTAGTATTCCAACATTTTTGTTGAACTTTGAATTGAACTATGCATATATTTCAAGTCTTTTTAGTGTCAGACAAATTAATAGGGTCGCGACATTTTGACAAGTTTTCTTTATAAAAGTATAGCTCATCTACCAAAAGCTATAGAAATCCAAATTTCAAGCATTTTGCAAAAAAATATCGGTTTTGTTACCGATATTTTTATGGATTTTGCTATCAATATTGTTATCGTTTTTGTTATCGATATTTTTATTGGTGTTATTATCGATATTGTTATCGCTTTCGTTGTCGATATTTTTACCGATTTTGCTATCGACTTTGTAATCGATTTCGGTATCGACTTTGTAATAGATTTTCTGATAAATTTTGTTATCGATATTTTCATCGATTTTTTATCGATATTTTCATCGATTTTCCTATCGATATTATTATCGCTTTGGTTATCGATATTTTTTTCTTAGTGTTTAAATTTAGCAGACCAAGACGAATACGCTGGACTGTTCCTTTTTGGTTTTCATGAAGCAAGACAATCGCTAAATGATTCATGGCCAGGTTATATAAACTATTAAAGCGAAAGAGTTTCAAGAAATGTTTAGATTGAACATTTAGAATATTTCTGAGGTGTTTGAAAATGGTTGCCACCTGTTTCAAAATGCATACTGCATGTTTGTAGCTCTTTGGAGGCTTAAACTGAGATTCTCCCAAACACT